AATACAATAACCCACATGCTGTCTATCCACTCCTGAAAACAGAGGACCTACTTTCTTCATTGCTCTGAGCAGAATATTAATGCAGCCGCAATGGTTTTAGCATTGGAGCAGCCCCATTATACGGTTGATTTATTCTGAGTTGGCAGGCAAGTATTTTTCACAAGAACTAAAATTGAGCCTGCTATGTCTCTTTTGTGCTTACCAAATAGAATTTGTAACCCATATTCATGGTTCTAATTTCTTCCTATTAAATTTTAATTTGTTGATTTTAGCACATCATTTTATGTGTCAAGATATTGGAATTCTGATTTTGAATTCTAACATATTAATCATCCCACCCAAGTATGTGAGGCTCATAGATGAGGTAAGCTTGTGCAATATGTGCTCACCCAAGTGCCTGATAAAACTACTGAACAGGCTGGCACGGAGGGCAGTGATCCTTCTCACCACTTATGGTCCATTGATTGATCTACAACTTGGGTGTACTGCTGCTCATTTAACTAAGAAGGTACCCAGTTAACTAAGAAGGTACTTGGTTAACTAAGTGTGCTATCGTTCAGCCCATGTCTATCTTTTGTTTAACAAAGAGATCATGAAAGTATTTTCCAAATGACTCACTATAGTAAAAGATATATTGTCTGCTGTATTCCCCTGAGCCTCTGGTCTAACCATTCAACCATGAAGGAAAATGATATTACTTTAATATGATTGTTGTTAGTGAATGTGAGCTGGCTGATATTAACCATAACTTCTTTTCCTAAGGGTTCATAAACCATTTGTTAAATAATTAAATACTTTCACTGGAGAGTCACATCTATCTCATTAATTTCCATAAAGTACCCTTTTCCCATTATAATATAAATATTGGTGCAAAATTTATGTATAAATATTCTCAGTTGATAGTTGACAAGAGATTGTGCTGCTCTACTTACCAAGAAAGAGCAACAAAGTCAACAGGAAAACAAAGGGCATATGCAGTGAATGATGAAGGTGCAGCATGACAGGAGCTGAGGGCTCTTGAGTGGTATAATTAGACAGATTAGGACGGGGTGCAGTGGCTTGTGCCTATAATCCTAGCACTGTGGGAGAATGAGGCAGGGGAATCTCTTGAGTGCAGGAGTTTGAGACCAGCCCGAGCGAGAGCAAAACCTCATCTCTACAAGTTAGATTAGAATTAAAGCTATGGGTTAATCACGTGAGATGATCTTCTGGGAACCTCTTGATGTATTTGACTTTTGCCAAGTGTGAGTCTTGATCCAGGGAACAGAAAAAAAGGTGGCAAATGCTAATGATATTTTCATAAAATAAAAAGATTAAAAGCTTTGACTGGGGGTGTGTAAAGAAATTGACTATAATATTTTGGGTATTTTTGGCTCAAAATATATTCAGTGTTTGCTAATTTACCATTCATCATTTACCAGATAAGTAGAAGTTAATTCAATTAGGACTGGGAGAGAGGTAATATAGGTAAATCCAGACTCATGAATCCATAATATATGTTTAAAAAACCTGAAGTCCATCAGGGAGGATTGGACTAGAAATGAAGATCCTGGAAGTCCTCTCAGGCTAGCAGGCCCAGCTAGGAGCCCCACTGTATTGCCCAGCTCTAAGCAACACCATTCTGACAGTATAATATAATGTGCATGATGCTCCTGGGAGCAGCTATATTGACTAGTAGTACAAGAGCTCATTGAGATATTGTCATAACTGCCCCTAGTAGTTAATAACTTTATTCTTCTCTTTGCTTTACACATACCTTTAAAAGCCTTTTTCAATGGCTGGGCACTGTGGCTCACAGTCTATAATCCTAGCACTCTGGGAGGCCAAGGCAGGTGGATTACCTGAGCTCAAGAGTTCAAGCAAGAGTGGGACCCTGTCTCTACTAGAAATGAAAAAACTGAGGCAAGAGGGTTGCTTGAACCCAAGAGTTTGAGGTTGCTATGAACTAGGATGATACAGAACTCTATCAAGGGTGATAAAGTGAGACTCTGTCTCAAAAAAAAAAAAAAAAAGGTCCATTTTAGTGTCTTCAGCCTTTTTTATTTTTATTTTTTTGGTATGCAACAGGTTTTGTTTTTCCCGAGGATGTATTGACACTATTTAGACAGATTCACACTGGTGGATGATCTTCCTTCCACATTTTGTTCACAAGTGCTTCACACATGAGCAAAATAAAGAGTTCTGCAGGGAGTTACATTAGCCTCTCTTGTTCCTACTGGATCATCTGTAATTATACTGTATAAAGGTTTCCCATCATCTTTGCCATAAATGGCTAATTTCTTTTCTTTGATGTTTCCTTTGAGTTCCATGTCATAAACTCTTAAGATACACACTAAACCATCCTTATCTTTTTATGGAAAAAAAATCAGTTCCACGTGGTTGTTGCCCATGTTTCCCAGTGACTCAACTGAAGTCTCAAAGACACTCTGCGTCCTGTTACTTTCTTCTGTGATTTACTACACACTTCCCCCTTTAAATTCTGATCTTCACAGGCTAGTACTGTGTTTTCTAAAGTTTTCTCTTTGAACTACACCCACTCCCAACACCCACCAAGCTTTCAAACTTCCATTGGAAATGTTCTTGATCCATGATCCTTGGTCTCTTGATCCTTGATCCATGAGATCACCTAACAAATATCTGACCTTGTATGTTCCCACTTCTTGTCCTTTTGCTAACTTCCTGCCCCTCTCTGACAAGTCTGGCCATTCTCTCAGGCTCCTGGCCAAATTACTGTACTACAGGAACCACACTAAAGACTTAGAGTAGGGGAATCCCTGCTTCTAACATTTTGCAGGCAAAGAGGAAGGGAAATTCCTCAATCAGAATATGAAACTCAGAACCAGAAAAGACTGGGTTCTCAGTGCCCCCACTTACCAGCTTTGTCATACAGAGAAAAACCACTCAAACTCCAGAGCCTCTGTTTCCTCATCTATAAAGTGGAAGAAATAGAATCCATAAAAACCTAGACAGAGAACCCTTTGGATGATCATCTGCAATGACACATGAGAAAGAATTCTATAATCCATCTAGATAATACTCTTATTATTTTGTTGTTTCTTTGTTTTGATTATCTCTTTTCTTTCAACTACAATGGTAAGAAACTCCTAGTATTCTCAGTTGGAAACCGGAAGCGTATGTGCCATAGAAACATTGTTATATGTGGAGTTTAGGGGGTCTGTGATTATTGGAGCAGTAGTGATCATTCAACCAAGGTGACTATGATAGTCTTTGCTGAAGCTTACATGAGCTTCTGTACCTCACTTCTAGTCATCTCTCTAAAATGTCTGATTATGTGACTGTCCTCCCTTAAAACCTTTCAATCACACATTCATTTAGTCACTCATCATTTTCACAGAGCTTACTCTTGCCCTCCCACTTGCTAAATTCTAGAGATACAGAGATCAAACACATTGTCAATCATCGGCCTTTTCACCTTGGCCTTGTTTCCTATGTATATACTTTGCTTCAAATATTCCTAATATTCCCTTCAATTGATTTATTCCTACAAATTTTTCCAAGCTCTGATTAGACTTGAGGGAGGGTCCCTGTGTCATGCAAACTGAGATAGGGCTGCCTGGGTGTTCTCTGCTCACTCTGTGCATGGTGCTTACCAGTCAGGGCCTGCATGCCCAGGCTGAGGGACCCATGTGTAATCTCTGTGTGTGTCAGGGTCAACTAGATGCCTTGACACAAAGGCTTGACACAATAACCACAGAGGAGGAGATACATAAACACCTAATTACTACAGTAGGGCTCTGCACAACAGTGATTTGTGCTCACTGCCCTGGGAGCATGACATGACCAGTTCTGCTAGGAGAGGCACAATGACTTCTTGCCTTAGGAGCTAGCTCTTGAGCAGCCACCTACCCAGTGGAAAAAAGTGGTGGGAGACATGTGCAAATTCAGGGATCAGGAGCAAGCATGGTTACTTAGGGAATGGCCAGTGGATAGACTGGCAGACCAGAAAGGGAGACCGAGGAGGATTGCAAGACCAGACAGTGAAGAATTTGAGACTTTCTCTCAAAGACAAGAGGGAGACACTGGTGCATATTAAGTATGGGAAAATTGATTGATAATTATATTTAGTTCTCTCTTTACTTCAGGTCTGCTGTGAGTTTGTGAATTAAATAATTTTCTCAGTCTTTAGTCATTCTTTATAACATTTATGTGTACTTTTTTCCCTTAATATCTTTTATCTAAAATTTATTCTTTTATTAGAATTAGCTTTAAAGAGGAAATTTTATGTGTTACCCTTATACATGAAAATCTGTCACTTTCCAAGAAAAAATACACACACAAAAGCATTTAAAAAAAAACTAATTTGGATTTCAGCCCTTATAACATTACAAGCTTTCTAGAATACTCTCAGGGACTTGAACCATGTTCTAAAAAAATACTAGGCTATCTCTTTGTTATATATGTAGAGTTTCTTCATCTCTCTATATAATGTAATTGTATTAGAAAATGCCTCTTGGCTGGGTATGGTGGCTCCCTCCTATAATTATGCTCCTTGTGAGGCAGAGACAGAAGGATCATTTGAGGTCAGTAGTCCAAGACCAGGCTGGTCTACATAGTGAAACCACATCTCTACAAAATATTTTTTAAAAAAAATTAGGCATGGTGGCTCCTGCCTGTAGTCCCAAATACTTGGGAGACTGAGGCAGGAAGATTGCTTGAGTCAAGGAGTTTCAGATTGTGGTGAGCTATGATGACACCACTACACTCTAGCCCAGGTGACAGAGAAAAACCCTGTCTCAGGTAAAAGAAAAAAGAGAGAGAAAAAAAGAAAATACTTCTTTCAGATAAGAATCTTACAAATGTAGTTTTTTTTTTTTTAATGCAATGTCTTCAGAGATTATGGGATTCTTGAATCTCAGACTGATCTTCCTCTTCCTGGCTCACATTTGTAAAGTTTCTCTATAGGTATGATTCATAATATTTTTCTTTAATAAAAATTCTCTGGTTAAAGAAAGTTGTCTAATTTTCTTATTTTTCATTAGAATGGAAGACTCTCTGAACAAAGGAGCAACCCACTGGTAGTGGGTGAAGTTTATGACTATCACCAAGGCATGTATGTCTGTGACTACACTCAGTCGGATAATGCAAGTGTATGGACAGTCAGATCTGTTGTTCAAGTGATAACCATTGGTAAGTGAGATTTTTGTCTCAAGATTTGAGATCTTAACCCCACTTGGTCAAATTAAAATTATTTTCTTTCAGCTTAGTAATTTTTTTCCTTTCAGCAACAAAAAAAAGAATAGTCATATACTTGCTGTTGTGAAAAGCCTTGATGGTGGGCAACCATCCATTTTCCCACCAACCCAGTTCCCATCCCCCAGGGAAGGCTTAGTTCTGAACCATGTTCAAATTATCACAGGTTGGGTACATTTGTGAATTGGTCTCTGGTTTGCTTTTGTGATAAATCAAAAATATATTAAATATTTCACACACAGAAATACTAAGTCACATCCACATATCTAGTACCATTAACATTAATCATGTTAATGGTTTTCCACATGCTTAAATTTTTTTTTTCCTTCAAAGAAACAAAATATTACAGATATAGTTTGAGGTCTGTGCCCCATTGTCAGGGCCTGTGGCTGGCCAGGTCTCGGGCCCAGCTTAGGTAGGTTCTGGACATGGACCACTAAGCTATCTTGCTCAGGAACAGTTTCTCGTAGGTGCTTGAGGGCTATCTACTTTAGCTGGAGAGAGAGAGAGAGAGACAGAGAGAATCTTAGAGTAAAGGTCTTCTTAGAACAGATAGCTCTTAGTCTTTAGCAGAGCTTGGTAATCTTCAGCAGAGACACCATGCCGGGGTTCTACAGGCAGGAGAGGAGACAGAGTCAGAGTAAGTGGATCCGTGACAGAATGTGCATGCCTCTTGACTGCCTGCTCCTCCAGCCTAATATAAGGCTGAGCTCGTGCCTCTCAACACCACAGGTGTAGAGACTGCCAATTCACCAGTGCTCTCATCTCATGAGCTCACTCATGCTTGTTAGAACCAAATCTCTCTCCATGCCCTGTTCACCAAGGTGTTCCATTACAGGTATTTCTTATAACTCACTCCTAGCCATAGGCTATGCAGGCTGCTACATTTCCCCCCTTTTTATATACAAACAAAATAACTTTTAACGTGGTAAGGGCCGTTGTTCTTCCTGTTATCCAGCCCTTTTCTTTCTAGGCAAAAGATGGTAATTGTCAAGATTCAGAATTCCAGGTATGGGCTCTTTAAGTGTGGAAGCCCAATACAGATGTAAACTATTAGCAGCTGCTTGAGGAAAATAATGATTGTGATGCTAATTCCCTTAAAGGTCTTTTTAAAGGAAGAAAATTGCAAAATCTTTCCTGATAGAATTTATCATTTCTTTAACTGTAGGAACTTTCCTTTGATATTTACTTAATGGAGGAACAAAAAATAACGCTTTCCTTGCAATCTTTGCAAGCAGAGGATTTTTCTCACTATTCCAAAGGTTTTGCTACTCAAGGTACTGAAATCCACCTTTCACAGATTGCAAAAGACTGTTACTCGTGGATTAATGGTTCCACACTTGGCAGTTCCTCTCATGGAACTGTTACTCTGTTGGGTCCGAGAAAGCCTCCCAAATTAACCCCAACTGACAAACTCGAGACTCGCTCCGATGTAAAGGGCATAAGGTGAGATTTATTACAGACCAGTCTGGACCCACCCAGCATGCAAGCCTGGGACGAGCCTCGAACTCAGGGTGAAGGCAGTTTTTATGAAGTACAGAAAGAAAGAGGGGTAGGGTCGGATACGAGTACACTTTTCATTGGTGGTTGGTAATTTCATTAGTAAAGGAGGAAGTAAAGGAGGGTTTGCATTGGTGGCTGATGATTTCACTAGTAAAGGTGAATTTGGATTGGTACAGGTGAGGGGTGGGGGGTCCCCTTAACTGGGGGCTAGAGTTGGTGTAACCTGGTTACCTGTATTTCAAGGTAATAGAAACTTACTGTTTATTGCAGTAAGGTGACATAGTTAACAAGGAATTGGGGGCTTATTGCTCTGTTGCCCAAGGTGGCGCTATATGGTTG